TGCAATGCTTGGTAAGAAATGTACGCATTATCCTGCCCATGTAATTGTAACCCCTCTGTACAGTATGTTCACAAATAAAATAAAATTAAATAAAAAAAAGATCAGTGTTTCTCAGAATCCCTGAAAGGTTCCACAAAGTGATTTTTTTTTCAAAAAATTTATAAGACATCATTTACCTTTTTTTTTTTTTTTTGCCAGTCCTGGGGCTTGAACTCAGGACCTGGGCACTGTCCCTGAGCTTTTTTGTTCAAGGCTAGCACTCTATCACTTATGCCACAGTGCCACTTCTGGTTTTTTTCTGTTTATGTGGTACTGAGGAATCGAACCCAGGGCTTCATGCATGCTAGGTAAGCACTCTACACTAAGCCACATTCCCAGCCCTCATTTACCTTTTTTGTGTGTGTGCGTTTTTAAGACAGGATCTCACTGCATAATCCATGCTAGCCTGGAATTCTTAATCCTTCTGCCTTGGCCTCTAGAGACCTTGGATTACAGCTGCCACCATGCCCAGACCATCATCTTAATATCTAGCAAATATACAGTGGAATTTTCCAGGCTACAAGGTATTACATTTTAACAATAAGACCCAGCTGTCTTTTATTAAGCCTAATACTAAAGCGATTTGAGAATACAATCACAAATTGTTTAAGGATGGGGATAATTCTGCAATGTGTGCTATTAGGTGATTGTATTTGTCATTGTGCAAACAGTAGAGATTGTATATGTACACTCCTTGCTGGGCGTGCATTTACACATCTTACTGGTACAACCTGCTACACACCTAGGCTGTGTAATATATAATGACATATATATGATCCATTGCTGACCAAGATGTCATATAGCACATGACTATATGAAAAACAACTCATTCTACTCACTAAATTTTTCTTGAAATTTACATTTCCCATTATTATTATTATTGTTGTTGTTATTATTATTTTGCCAGTCCTGAGGCTTGAACTCAGGGCCTGGGCACTGTCCCTGAGCTTCTTTTGCTCAAGGCTAGCACTCTATGACTTGAGCCACAGCCCCATTTCCAGCTGTTTCTGTTTATGTAGTAATGAGGAATCAAATCCAGGGCTTCATGCAGGCTAGGCAAGCACTCTACCACTAAGTCACATTCCCAGCCTCCCATTAACATTATTAACCTTATTGTTGTTATTTATGAATGAAACCACCAAAGGATATCCATTCTTTTCAATTACAAGATGCATTACCAAGGTAGAGCAGATGCTGAGCTCTTGAGCTGGGTGCTAGTGGTTCATGTTTGTACTCCTAGGTACTCAAGAGGTTGAGATCTGAGGATCAGGGCTCAAAGCCAATCTGGGCATACAATTTAAAGAGACATCTCCAACTAACCAGCAAAAAGCCTGAAGTAGAGGTATATCTTGAGTAGTAGTAGTAGAGTGCTAGTCTTAAGTGAAAAAGCTAAGCAAGAATGTGAGGTCCTGAGTTCAAGTCCTATACTGGCACGCACACACACACGCACACACACACACACACACACACACAACTAACTAGGCACTAGGTGGTTCATGACTGTAATCCTAGTTACTCAGGAGGCTGAGATCTTAGGATCATGGTTTGAAGAATTTAACCACCTAAAAACTGGAAGTGGAGTTGTGGTTCAAAGTGGTAGAGCACTAGCCTTGAGTAAAATAAGCTGAGGGATAGCACCCAGATGCTGAGTTCATGTCTCACCACATACGAACACACACACACACACACACACACACACACACACACACACACACACATGCTGTAAGGACTAAAACCACATAGAATAGCTTCTCCAATCAGAGTGGAATCATAATAGAATTCAATAAGAAGATAACATTGAAATCAATGAAAGTACAACATCTAGGAATTAATAAGTGGAAATTAAATAACACACTTGTAAACAACATGCAGGTGGAAGAATTAATCACAAGAAAAATGAGAATTTGTGCATAATGGTTCACGTTAGTAATCAGAGCTACTCAAGAGGCAGAGATTAGGAGGATCATAGTTGGAAGCCACACTGGGCAAAACCTTCAAGATACTTCATGTCAACCAGTTAAAAAGCTGGGCAAGTTGTCTGTGCCGGTCATCCCAGTTATTCAGGAAGCATAAGTAGTATTGCTATCCATGAGGCTTAAGGAGAAACCCCCTGGACTTCCATCCCTCCCCAGCCTGGATCCACCTGGGTCTCTTATTCCAAGTCCTTCACTTTGCCCATCTCCTTTCATACTCAGATTTCAATGGCTACCTACAATATGGGAGAGAATATGGGTTAGTGAGATACAGGGAGTTTGTGACAAATCTCTAGTTGGGACCTGGTTCTGTGATTTATAGGCAACCTAGGCCAAGTCTTGAGCTCTCTCTGAACCTCCCTAGTACTATCAGACAAACAGAAACAACAAGCTATCTGCTCCACAGGCTTGCTGCTAGAACTGAGTTAAATTATACATGATGCAGAGTTTACTCTAGAGCATAGCCCTTGGCCAGCAGCAGAAGCACCAAATAAGTTGGCTTATTTCTGTTAATCCCAGCTACGTGGAAGGCAGAGATCAGGAGGATCTCAGACTGAGACTGGGGCAAACCCACAAGACTCTACCTGGAAAATAACTAAAACAAAAATGAGCTGGAGGTTTAGCTCCAGCTCCAGAACACCTGCCTAGCAAGCTTGAGGCCCTCCTGAGTTCAAAACCCCAAAGCCACCACAAAAAATGAAACAAACAGCCCGGCGCCCATGACTCACACTTATAATCCTAGCTACTCAGGAGGCTAAGATCTGAGGATCCTGGTTCAAAGCCAGCCTGGACAACAAAGTCCATGAGACTCTTATCTCCAATACAACACTCAGAAAACTGGAAGTGGTATTGTGGTTCAAGTGGTAGAGCACTCTCCTTGAGCTGAAGAG